ATCTGGCTCAGATAGGCTCGTTTTGCCTGAAAATGCCTCGCCGGCACTCACACAAGCACTGGTCCAAAAAAACACCTTATCTGGCTCAGATAGGCTCGTTTTGCATGAAAATGCCTTACCGGCACTCACAATAGCACTGTACGTCCAAAAAACCAGCTTATCTGGCTCAGATAGGCTCGTTTAGCCTGCTACTGCTACAGCTACTGCTACTGCTACTGCTACTGCTACTGCTACTGCCACCGCTACTGCTACTGCTACTGCTACTGCTACTGCTACTGCTACTGCTACTTACTACTACTTCGGCCGCTGCTGCTCTACTCAGCCGCCAGCCCCAAACCCATTAATTTCGATTTTGAGATTAAATAGCGACCGCTGCGGAAATAAGCCGCGACGTCACCTGCTTAATTCGGGGTTGAATTATTCTAATTTGTGCAGTTACTTACCTACTTACTTACTTACTTACTTACTTACTTACTTACTTACTTACTTACTTATGTTTCTTTATCTGTGTATTTTTATTCATCTTCACACGAGTAATAGTGATATCTATTGCGATGTCTATTGTTATGATTATGAATACTACTTTCATTATTATTGCTATTTCGTTCTTATTCATTTTTATCGTCGTCATCATCAATATTATTGTTATTATTATTATTATTAGTAGTAGTAGTAGTAGTAGTAGTGGTAGTAGTAGCAGAAGTAGTAGTAGTAGTAGTAGTAGTAGTAGTAGTAATAGTAGTAGTAGTAGTAGTAGTAGTAGTAGTATGCGGGTAGTAGTAGTACATAGTAGTAGTCGCCGTCGCAAGTAGTAGCAGTATTGTTGTTGTTATGGTCGTATTGTTGTGTTTATTTTACGTGGTAAGTGATATTATCCACACACATACATACCTGCATACATGCATGCATACCTGCATCTTTCAATTTACATACATCTTTACATCAGAACATATGCACACCTATAGATGCAGACAGATACATTAACATTGCATACCGATGTGTTTGTATATATACATATATATATATATATATATTTATGTATTTATGCCTTGGCTCACATGTACAGGTGCATACACCTCTGCGAGCGCTGGCAGATACGCCCCGGGGTGCGAGCATCGTGCCCTCACTATCCACCTGCCTTAAACTAAACTGTAGCAAGTCTCCTTGGAAGGACACTGCCCCTCCTTCATGCGGGCATTTGGAACAAGACACAGACAGACAAATACATCTATAAAAGAGACATACCATATAGACTCCGAACGTCATCCCCAAGCTGAATAGCCCTGAGCTCAATTTTCACGCCTTGACATCTGAATCTGGAGCCTCTATACGTCTGAAGCCAACTGTTCAGAAGGTTTGGGTGGGTTAGGCTTGGAGCCTAAACCACCACCTGGTGATTCTAGGCAACGTGTATCTAGGGTCGCGCATTCTTGATGCAATCGAAGAACCCCTAACCCCCCAGGTGCCTACTATATAGGGCCCCAGGGCTCCACTACCCTATATACTAAACCCTAAACCCCAAACCCTAAGCCCCAGAACCCTGGGTACCTGGGGGGTTAGGGAACCCTTGCCCTGCAGACCTTGCCTGGCTTGTCCGAGCGTGAGCGTCAACAAAACCTGGAGCTTCAAATCCGAGAGCCCAACAGCTAATCACCCTAATGTAGGGGCCTTAATTGCCTTAATAATTAGAATAAAGTTTTGGGGCCACGTATACTATGCTTATAATAAGGAACCCCCAAATTAGCATGGGCAATTATTAAGGCCTCCCTAAAACCCTAAACCCTAAACCCAACCCGAAAACCTAAACCTACATTCAGGCCGTTGCCGCCGGCTTTCCAGCGCCTCGTCCACACCGGCCGGGTTTAGGGGCTTTGAGGCCCTAAACCCTAAACCCTAAACCCTAAACCCTGATGGGGGGCGCTTTCCCCCGAAACCTCGAGCTTTTCGCACCCGATACTTGGAGGTTCATGGGTAGTTAAGGTTTAGGGGTTTAGGGTTTAGGGTTTAGGGTTTAAGTTATAAGTGGGGTTATAACTCCCCTAATCTGGGGTATGAGTATAGTTACACTTAGTTACCCTCCTTATAACCCTGCCTGTTTATGGGTACCCATGAACCTGCAAGTACTTGCAGGCCACATCCTGACACATTCTCTCCGCAGCACCAGAGCAACGTGCACAATCGGCCCCAAAATACCAATATTCCCCAACCCCCCAGGTACCTACTACATAGGGTACTAGAGCCCCCAGGGCCCTACTTAGTAGGTACATGGGCGGTTACGGATTGTTCCTAGGGGCTCCTTACAGTAGCTAATTATACGGATTTAGTCCACATCTCCACATCCTTGGGTTTCTCAAGAGTTTCAGGCGTGAACAGGATGCCATCACTCCACTTGGCGTTATGCAGGTCCGTAGAGTTGCAGTAGGCCCTAGGATAGTTCGGTGAACCGTGGTGCATTGCTCTTTTTGCGCGTGTGGGGTGATGTCGGATGTCAGTTACGAGGGCCCAGCAGGACGAACCTTCAGAAACTGCTTCAAGCATACGGGGCTTTCTACGTAAGCCGCTTTGGAAGGTGATAGGCCGCACTGGCAATTTCTCCCTCAGGCTGTCGAGAGTTATAATCATACCAAGACAACGGCTTGCATGCATGGCAAAGCGATCGCGAGAGTAAAATCCCCAAGAGCGGAAACCTTTTCTCTGTCAGGTGATTTTCAGTCTACGGCAGCAGATGCTAAACCGGCTATGGTTCCGAAGCCACAGAATTGGGCTGAGATTTGTCTAAGTTTCGCGGTTTAGACGGCAAAGTCATGACTTCTGAGGCACGGAACTCTCTTGATGGCTTCATGCTGGAGTGAGCGCTACAGGCTGCTGCGACAGAACCGTCTTTCCGACACGGAGACTGGGCTTTGTTCTTGAAAAATGTCTGTTTTCTGCAGGTCCCTTCAGGGTTCTTTAAAGACCTTGGTCCTACGTATGGTGTGGCTTTCACGATGAACAAAAATATAGAAGCCCAAATAAATACCAACATTATTCGGTAGGGTTCCTTGCTATAGCCAGACTATACGGGAGCCAAGACATTATTCTAATTATCAAGACCCCTAATTACATGAGAACCCTGATACTCACCCTTACTGTGCCCCGTATAGACCCCTTTCACACCTGAAAGGAACCCTACCCTAATTCTTAATGCCTCTGCATCAAACCGTGAAGCCTTCAAGAGCCGTCCGCGAAGAGCCCAGGAACGATTGCAGTGTGTCAACGGCGATTGGTACAACAGCTCCTGGGCACCTGATTAGCCTCATTGTTATCATGATTATTGTTGTTGTTACTCGTATTATCAACCCTAAGCCCTAAACCCTAAACCCTAAACCCTAAACCCTAAACCCTATCATTATTGCTATGATTAATCTTTTCTCGGGCGTTCTGGGGTTCAGCGCCAGGGCCTGTGGGCAGCGCTGCGGGTTTGGGAAGAGAACTGAGCCGTCGAATAACGTAGCCCCGGCAGCCCTTTGGGTAAAACTCTCTAAGTCTAAAACGGTTTAGGGTTTAGGATTTAGGGTTTAGGGTCTAAAGCCACATAACCCTAACCCCCCAGGTACCTACTATATAGGGTACTAGAGCTCCTAGGGCCCTATATAGTAGGTACCTGGGGGGTTAGGGGAATGTTGCAATCGGGATGGCTGCTCCCAAATGGGGCCAAAAGTGGCCTAACTCATCCTAAAGACAGAAAGCCCACAGGAAAGTCGTTTTCTCACCCTCTGAGAATCAGCAATTAAGCCCTTTCGGCAAAACAACCCCTATGAAACCCTTTTGAAACCACATGAAAATCTCTGATACAGCCTTGACCTTGCCACCCAAGACCCGAATTTACATACCCCTGACTTCAACTCTGAATCTCACCATCTACAAGGTTCCTGAGTAGTACCCTTTTGCCCTGTTTATTTTGGGGTCTCTTTATTAAAACCGAATACTAGGAAAAAGGGTGCCCTTATTATTTAGGGGTCACTCAGGAACCTAGTCTAAACGATTGTGCCGCAGAGCTACACATCCAAAATACCTGGTCCAAGCCAGGAGCTGTTCAGATGAAGTGAGATCATAGAAGCCTATAGGCCCTAGACTCCAAAGGCCCTACCTGTGGCATCATAGGAAACCCTCAAAAGGCAATATAAGGGCCTACATAATTACCTATGCTATTTTGGGGGTTCCTTATTATAAGTATAATATAAAATAAACCCAAACCCTATTCTAATTGTTCAGGCCCCTGCATTAGGTCTTTCCGGCTGGCACCCCACATGGGTAGTTATAAATGGGGTTATAAGCAGGGTAACTTTAGGGGACATATAACCCCACATACAGCTACCCCTAAACCCTGAACCCTAAAGAACCCTCTAAGGGAACCTCGACCCCTATAAATCCTAAATCCTACAGAACCCCACTAGGAATACCCCTAAACCATAAACCCTATAGAGCCCTTTAAGGGAACCCCATAACTCCAGTTATAACGACCCCTAAGCCCTGAACCCTATAGAACCCTCTAAGGGAATAACCCCATAACCCCACCTATAACTACCCATGAACCTCCACCCTAAACCCCTAAACCCTAAACCCTAAAGCCGTGGCAACCCAGGCCTTGGGAAGCCAGGGCTCAACGGTCTGGCTTGCGAAGCATGCATGCAGGTGAAAAGCAGGGTCGAGGGGTTTGGGGTTTAGGGTTTAGGGGTTATGGCGTTTACGGTTTAAGGTTTAGGATTTATGACTAACACGTCGTTATCCTATATGAGCTTTGTGTTGCCACTGTCTGGTTGTTTTTTTTGTTGGGTGGGCTCTTGCAGGTATTTCTTGATGGTTTCTGCTATTCAGCACAGTTCGGGAAAGTTTACGGCTGGGGTTTTGACAGCATGAGTAGCGTTGGCCGAAGGTTCGGACGTGGAGCAATATAGAAGCCCAAGCAATTACCAATATTATTGTTAGGGTTCCGTATTATAGATATACTAGAAAGGAACCCTAAACCCTAAACCCTAAACCCTAAAGGAGGCCCCGACACATTGGAGCCTCGGGCTGGCGATTGTGCGGTTTATGGGAAGTTGCGGCTTTGTGTTCGGCTTCTCGGTACCGGAACTGCCTAGAGCACAATTCTTGCAAGGGAGACAGAGGCCTTGGTTTACTTACAATATTCGGCGTCCCGATTGTGTTTTGAAAGGTAGGTATGCTTTCAGCACGGAGTTCCTGAGTTCTTTCAGCAAGTCGGAAAAACCCTAGACCCTAAACCTGAGAAACTTGATAGAGGCCCCCTCGCCCGCTTCACCCCTCTCAACCCCACTTCCCTCCGACGAGCCCTCTGTGTTAGAAAAGCACCCTCTTCGGGCTGGCAAGCCTGCATGTTTTAAGTATCTATCCCCAGCAATATAGGTTTAGGCTGGTTTAGGGTTTAGGGGATATTATTGCTACGATTATTTATTGTACCTTAAGAACCCCAAACCCACTTTCCTGTAGGTTCTTATTATATACCCTAATATGGGATTTTAATATTGGATTTATAGGGACCCTACAAAAAGTAGGTTTTGGGTTCTTAAGGTAGTTCTTATTCGGTTTGATATTATCAGTATTTCGTTTGTCGGATGTTGGCACCTGCTGTGCGGCAGCAGGTCAATCTCGGTTGCATCCTCTGGGTTTGAGCCACAGCACTCTGCAGAGGCCCAATTCTACACAATTCTACAACCAGAACACTAATAATTACCTATAATTAGTGTTTTGGGGGCTTCTTAGTATAATCATAGTATAATGTACTCCAAAACCCTAATTCTAATGCTGCTATAAGGGGCGCAAGTAGGCGCCAAGCTACCAGCGCCAGGCCTCAAACTCTCCGAGGTCCCTTCAGCCTTTTACCGTGTATTCTGCTCTGGGCCCCAAGCCTGCTTGCCTTGGCAGCCATCTCATCATACTTAGTTTCGCGGCTTCGTACGAGGAAAACATCTTGGGACCCTCCAGCAGCAATGCAAAACCACAGCAGTGAAGTAGGGGCCTTGATAATTACAATAGGGTTTGGGGTTCCTTATTATGACTACAGTATAATATAACCGCAAACCCTGTTCTAATTATTCAGGCCTCTATATTAGCCAGTACATCCTCCCACCAGTTGCAGGTCGTAACCTGCTTTCATTTAACAGGTCGGAGCTCGAGGTTACGCGGCCTACGACGAGCGGAACGAGCAGGCGTGCCAGGGTTAGGATTTTCGCATTTTTCAGGATTGATGAGCATGCTGTCTTGCAGAGTTTACAGGATTTCCCTCGTTGTCTGCTGTGGTCAGGGCTTGGGCGATTCGGGGGAATTCATAGTTAGTTGTGCAGACCGAGGGGCTTGACCCTGCAGAGCTGTGGCGAATCGCGTCGGATGAACACTCCCTTCAGAGCCCGTGAATCAGTGCAGGCAGCGGAAACTTGAACTGAAGAGACTCAGTGCCTGTATCGCCGTCCACCTCTACTCTCGACCCGATACCCCTGTAACCCCGGCTACTTCGAGGCTGAGGGTTCGTTCGGGATGTCGGAAGACTCCTGACGAAGGTTGGTCTTCCAACCGGCCGATCTGCAGAGTCTTTTACGTCCTCCTCCTGATATACGCCTGCTGATCACCTTATAGGATCCTTAGTCTAAAATAGGTGAGAACTACAATGGAGACCAGAGGTACTTCCATGTTCTACGAAGTGCAGTGCAGCTCTCCGGGTGTACTTAGACCCCTGTACTCTGAACCCCGTACAGTAGGGCCGAACAGGCTTCTGGCTCTGTGCCAGGCTGTACAGTAGAAGCCAGAAAGTTGGCACATCGTTATCCTGGTACTCTAAGGTGAAGCATAGGGGATCCCAGCACTAATTCTCCTGAAACCATGTTCCCACTTTCTGGGGTTCGCTGTAAAGGGTTTAGGGTTTGGGGGCAAAATCCAGTTTTACGTTAGAGTAAAAGTGGCGCCGACGCAGATTTAAGAACTTCACGGACGCCTAAGCAGGAGTCCCTCAAAATGGCACCCCATGATGCCGGTATCAGCAACCCTAAACCCGGAACCCGACCCCTGAACCCGAAACCCTAAACCCCTAAACCCTAAACCCCCTAAGCCTTGATGGAAGGAGCTCTACTTCTTCAACCGTATGGCCCTGAGCATCTACACCGAGCTTGGCATGGTCAAGGAAGTGCAGCCATCTTGCAGCTTCGGGTTCTCCTTAGGGTTTAGGGTTTATAGGGTTTGGGGTTTAGGGTTTAGGGTTTAGGGCTCAAGGGTAACATAGGGCCTTAGGGCTCAAGGGTTTAGGGTTTGGGG